ACCACCATATTGTAATCACAGTGGTTGAGCATTTTCTAAACCTTTTTAATGTATAACGCGTTGTTTACACTTTCCGTCAAGTTCGAAATTAAACAACATGTGTTTTTATGTTGACGACTTATTTGTAAACAATTGTCATAATTATACCAGTATTCACAGCTAACAGGTTCAATAAAAATCATTCTAATAAACAAATTAAAAGTAATAAGCCTTGACAATTTATGCATTCAAAATCAATTAACATCGTAGATAATAATCGCCAATAATTAATATAAATATCTAGCATTGTTGACAATTTTAAATTAAATCGTTTGCTTTTCTCCGTTAAAATACATCGCGTTCTCTATCATGTTGAATATCCGCTACGGTTTAAAGGGTGATTGTCTGAAAGTAGATTCTTATTGGTTGCGGGATCATTGTCGCTGCGAGATGTGTTACAATTCGCGTACATCGCAACGTTTATTTAATTTAGTTGATATGCCAAAGGAATTAAAGGCAAAGGATATAAAATATGAAAATAATGATACAATATTGGAGATTACATGTAAGTGTGGTGATATGTGTGAAATTGAAAATGTGTGATATGAAAATCATTATGAAAATTAATTTTATATATTAGAACGATAAATATGTTGTCAATAAATAATGAAAGTCACGCGCAGATTATAATCGAAGAAATCGGACAGGTGGTATTAACCGCAACTAAAAGTGCCCCTTAAAATTTATCAAATATGACATATTATAATATTTATTGCATCAAAATCGATTTAAAGGAAACACACGTCATATTACTATATTAAATTGGACGAAATTATATGGAGCTTTATCTAAATCTGAACTGATTAAAATCTAACTTACCACAAAACTTTTTAGATTCGATTCATTAAGATGTTCTAAAATGTCGTTCGCATCGGCCAGACGTAGTGTTCATTGTGAGCCATTTACATGACATTAGGTGGAATTATATGCGGAACCTATCACTAAATCTAAACCGATTTAGCAAATAGTACGCCGATTATTCTGGACTTAAGTCAATAAGTTATGAATAATATGTGCAAATGGAATTATTCACCGAATATCGGGCAATAATATATTTCGGAGTTATACCTGAATGTAACCAGCTTTAAAACTATCAGAATTAGGTCAATTCGAGACCCAATTCAAAACGCTCTGCATCTCAAAATATTTACCGGGCACGATAGAGGTCGCAGTATTTAAGGGAGAACTTTGACATTTTGCACGTTACTTGTTACTACTACTAGGATGTTTGGTATTGAAAATGGGACACCCTAATATCCGATAATAGGGTATTTTTGACATGTTTTTCAACGGAATAGTCTATAATTTTGTATTTTAAGCTCAAAGAGGGTAACAAAACTCCATAGCCAAAATTATCGATGTCGGTCCACTCTTGGGGATAGCCTCCATATAACAATACCCCAATTATTCGGTGTTTTGGAAATTTTTGGCAGTATCAGTAAGGAAACATAAAAGTCGGACGGGGCCGACTATATGAGACCCTTCACCACTTTAGATACATACAAGGGATGCACATATCTTGCAGATAGAACAGACATATCATTGTGGAGTTTACACATTTGAGCTAATATAAAACCAGTAAGGAAAGTAGTAAAGTCGGACGGGGCCGACTATATTATACCCTTCACCACTATAGGTATATTAAACAGGACTATTAACATGAAATTGGATGAAATAAAATATGGGGTATTTATCTATATGTGAATCTATCTAGATCTATCCATAAAGTATGTAAATCGACTTCAAACAAATATAAATAGGTTATCCATTGGGCTATGTCTGTACTTCTAGAAAACGCAACTACGTAATTCTATGCTCAATTTTGTACATTATGCAAAATTTGTTGTCAATCTGACTAACATGAGGAGTTTGATGCCCAATTTACTTGAAATCGGGCGAAAATATATATGGAAGATCTATCCAAATATGAACCGATTTCAACGAAACTTGTCACAGGTTAGGTTATACTAATTTCAGAACGTTTTGCTCCTACTGGTTCCTTGGTGCGTCAATTACTTAAAATCAATCTATAATAAAAGGGAGCTATATTTACATCTGGACCGATTTTCACGAAACAAGGCAGACATCACTCTAGGCTCAGTTCAATGCGTTATGCCAAATTTCGTGCAAATCGAAAGATATATAGCGACTTTGGTACACCATTTACATGAAATCGGACGAAACTATATATGGGAGGTATATCTAAATCTGAACCGATTTTCACGAAACTTGGCAGACATCACTCTAGGCTCAATTCAGTACGTTATGCCAAATTTTGTGCAAATCGAAGGATATATAGGGTCTTTGGTGCACCATTTACATGAAATCGGACGAAACTAGATATGGGAGCTATATCTAACTCTGGACCGATTTTCACGAAACTTGGCAGACATAATTCTAGACCTAAATGATTAGGCTGTACCAAATTTCGTGCAAATCTAAAGATATATAGGGACTGTTCACATTAAATCGGTTAAATATATATATATATATATATATATATATGGGAGCTATATCTAAATCTGAACCGATTTTTCCCAATTTCAATAGGGTTCGTCCTTGGGCCAAATAAGTGACCTATGCCAAATTTCATCCAATTCGGATCATAAATGCGACCTGTACTTTGTTTACAATTTAACATGCACAGACAGACAGACGGACGGACATGCATAAATCGACTTAGAAAGTAATTCTATGCATATTCTGAAAAGGAACCATGTGTCTATCTCGTTTCCTTTTGCCTATTACAAACATATGCACAAAGGCATAATACCCTGTACCACAGTGTGGTGAAGGGTATAAAAATCAGACGAAACTATATATGAGAGCTACATCTAAATCTGAACCGATTCCTGAACTGTTTAGTAGTACGCTATGCAAAATGTTGTCTCAGTCAAACCCACCTTGGGAGTTGATGCATCATTAATGTAAAATTGGACGAATCTGAACCGATTTTCTCCAATTTCAAAAGGGGTTCGTCCTTTGGCCAAATAAGTGACTTGTGCAACCTGTTTCATATTTCGGGGCAGCCACTATTTTAATCGAATTGACTCCAAGCTTATATTTTGAATTATCCTTAGAAACAAATCTTTCTACCAAAAATTATTAATATTGGGCCACTTTTTAGGTTAGACCCCATATAAAGGTACACCCATTGTTTGGTGTAGCGCCAATCTGATATTTTGGATTATTATTGGGTAGAAATCTCCCTTCATTTTTGGTGGGTAGCCTTCAATGAGCATTGCCCCAATATTCCCCCTTTCTGCATTTTCCTACAAAGTAACAGTAATTTCGCATTACGAGTTTTTGGAGCTCGACATAAATATAAGCATATTATCAATGGGATCAGGGACATAGATTCCATATAAAAGTATCGCAATTTTTGATATTTTGAAGAATTTAACAGAATTCTCCACTTAAGGGGACCCCCCCCCCATTCTCGGGGTCAAAATTTTTGTTGACTTAATTCCAATCTACACTAATTCAAGAATGTCCCTGCTTAATTTCAAGTAAAAATCTCAAGAACTCTTGAAGATATAGCCGATTTATTGTGTCAGCATCAAGTGACGGCTGAAGGGCTTCTCAAACTTCAAACGCGTTTTTCTCTAAACATTTTTTTGCGAATGGCGGGCACGATAACTCAAAAACTAATAACCCAATCGACTTCAAATTTTTACACGTTTCTCTGTGAGTGTATAGCTATCGTATGAACTAGGATAAAGCCAATCGGTGAAGATCTTCCTTATTTTTTAACTTGGTTTTTGGTAAAAAAACGGCGATTTTCCAAAAATATTTTTTCAAAGGTCCACCATTTTGTTAATTTTAGAGCGAAGTCAATAATCCTAGTTCATACGAGAGCCAGACATGTACTCTTTCTAACACCGTTGGAATTTTCGGATTCCGATGTTCCAGTGAGGAGTTATCATGCCCGCCATCAAAAATAAGGACTTTTCTTTGATCACAAAAAACAACAACAAAACAACAACAAAATTTTTTTTTAAATTATTTTTCTTCCTTTTTAAATCTTCAAATATATATGTGCAAAGTTACAAAGCTAAACATGCATTGGTATTCATTTACCAGCCCATTTAAAATCTTAAAAATAAAAAATCGAGAATGGGGGGGGTTCCCTTAAATCCACTCGCTGTAATTTTGGAATCCGGGGGTTTGAAGGTAAAAACAATTTTTTTTAGAAAACTTTTTACATAGGTATATTTTTTCATATATTTTGTCGACCTGTAGAAAAAGTTCGGCATGCCGAAACGACGTAATCACTTGTTTCAATTAAGTTGGTGGTAATTTTATATTTTGATGGATCATTGGGTAAAAAATCATTATCGAAAATTATTGATATTTGTATTCTGGGAACAGGTTTCAATCGAATTGGGATTCTCATATGGTGTCAAATTCTGACAAAAATATTGTTATCTGGCATCGTTTTATGGTGGCCCCATATTGCGGGACCATCTTTTTTGTATTTTCAAAAATTTCGGTATTTTAAAAGTCCTAAAGCTAATTTTTCCAACCTTAAGAGTTTGTAGGTTTATATTTCAATATTGGTATGTTCACGCACTCAAAAAGTTGTAAATTCTTTTAAATTTATAAGGGGAAAATTGAACAAAGTGCTCCATAATGAAAGATTCTTGCTGGTTCTGGGACAGAGCATATATTATCATACTATGTAGTGGTGGCATGTATTCATTTAACTTAATTTTTATATTTTCTTCTTAATACATACATTTATATCTTTTTTTTTTTCAGGGAATGATGGCCATGTCTCAAAATACGACATCGATTTTATTGTCAACTCTCAATATGAAAAATTCCAAGAGAAAATCAGGAAAGACAAATGCCGAACACAATGGAATGTTGTCACAATATTGAAAAATAAACACGAACTGGATTTCAAACTTGGAGATTTGTGTACATCAGATGCTACTGTCAAGAATATTATGAGTTCCCTTATACGCTACGGCCTGGTATTTATCCATGATGTCCCACCTAATACCACTATGACTGAAATGGCTGTACGTCGCCTATTCCCCATTATGAAGACACTTTATGGAGAAATGTTTACATTTGCTGATGTCTATTTGCACGACGACATTACCTATTCGAATGATTATATTGGCCCACATACGGATAATACGTATTTTTGTGATGCAGCTGGCTTGCAGGCCTTACACTGTGTCGTACACGATGGTACGGGTGGGGAGAATTTCTTCATCGATGGTTTCCATGTTGCCGAAGTACTGAGACGACGTAACCCCAAAGCTTTTGATATCCTTTCGTCGGTTCATGTGCCAGCATATTTCTTTGATAAAAATGAACGACATCGTTATTCGGCGCCAACCATACGTGTTGATCCGGTGACCAAAGAAATTATACAATTTCGTTTAAATTTATATGATCGTTCGGTTTTCAATACTATACCGCAGAATGAAATGCATGATTTCTATGCGAGTATGCGGGAATTTTTGGCGATTATTCATGATCCCGAAAATTGGTGGCAATTGAAATTAAATCCTGGTACTGTGGTCATTTTTGATAATTGGCGTTTGTTCCATGGTCGTTGTGCCTACACGGGAAAACGTGCAATGACCGGTTGTTTTGTTCAACGCACGGATTTCTTGAGTAAAGCTAGATTGGAGGGAATTATTGAGTAACATTTGGATGTTGGCATTAAATTGTAATTGAAAAAAGTAATAATATGTATTTAATAAATATGAAATAATATCGAATTAACATAATTTACTTTGTTTCGTATCCTTGATTGTCGGAGAGGGGGAAAACTCATTGGTGCTTTCTAATCAAACTATTACTGTAAAGGGATTTCGGTATTTAATGTTGATATGGTGCAAAAAAACAATTTTTATAAGATTTATGATCTTAAAAAAGTCGATAAGTTCGGCCGATCCAATACTATGTAACCCCCACCAAGTTGTGTGCATTCAACACTCCTGAATGCCTTCATATGGGAACTATGTTGTGCATGCTCTGAAAATTTCAAAATTACAGACACTCTGATTGTAAAATTGGGGTTGGAACTTGCAACATACCGAAAATTAAACAGGACATTTATATACGGAGGATATTTTAAAACATGAATCTATTTATATTAATAAAAAACTAAAGTGATTGACTAACTAAACGATTCATCAACGAAAGGGCTGAAGCTATAAGCTTGGAATTTTGGGTGAGGGTTAGTCCGAATGTGTCAGTTAAAGCTGGGGTTTTTTTTTTGGAAATTCGTACTAGAACGGAACGAAATGTGCTAAAAATTACTAAACATGGTACCATTTGTTGAAACGGTTGAACTAGAACTCTGGAACTTGGCATTAGGGTCACTGATGGAGTGTAGGATGGAAATTCGAACTATAAGCATGCATGTCCGCCTGTCCGTCCGTCCATGTATTTTTATTAACAAAGTACAGGTCGCATTTGTGATCCGGATGAAATTTGGCACAGTTCACTTATTTGGCCCAAGGACGAACCATATTGAAATTGGGAAAAATCGGTTCAGATTTAGATATAGCTCCCATATATATTTTCGTCCGATTTTATGTAAATAGTGCACCAAAGTCCCTATATATCCTTCGATTTGCACGAAATTTGGCATAGCGTACTGAATTAAGTCTAGAAAGATGTGTGTTAAATTTCGTGAAAATCGGTTCAGATTTAGGTATAGCTCCCATATATATTTTCGTCCGATTTTAGGTAAATAGTGCACCAACGTCCCTATATATCCTTCGATTTGCACGAAATTTGGCATAGCGTACTGAATTAAGTCTAGAAAGATGTGTTTGAAATTTCGTGAAAATCGGTTCAGATTTAGATATAGCTCCCATATATATTTTCTTCCGGTTTTATGTAAATGGTGCACCAAAGTCCCTATATATCCTTCGATTTGATCGAAATTTGGATTTATAAGTAAATGAAGAACTCAAAATGTGGCCGAATGCAAAAAAAAAAAAAAAAACATACTGAAATAAGTGTTACCTAATATGTGACAAGTTTAGTATAGGTTGCCAAATGACATATTTAATTTCATGTCAATGGTCCTTTAAAAATGCGATGTTTTTTTTAGGATTCCATCTGTTGAATATACCAAAAGTGGTGAAGGGTATCATATAGTCGGCCCCGACCGACTTTACTACTTTCCTTACTGGTTACTATTTGAATTTGGGTGAATTGATATAGCTGCAATACTGAAATTTGGAAATAAGATTACTATTGGATGTAGGATTGGGGTATGGATGTAATTTTGGAAATTCTTACTTATGGGTACTAAAAGGTAATAAATTTGAAACCATTTGAATTTCGGGTGAACAGATGGAGCTGGAATCCTGATATTTGGAGTCAGGATAACTGTTGGGATTTAGGAAAAAGGATACCTCCAGGAACTTCGTACTAAATTTGTTACAATTTTAATTTTAGGTGATCCGATAGCGCTTAAATCCAAGGCTTTGGAGTTAGGTTCATTGTATGAAGTTTTGGAAATTCGTACTAATGTGTACTAAATATTATCAAATTTAAAATTGGGAGTTAAGATTTCTGTTGGGTTATAGAATTAGACTATGTAGGAAGTCTTGGAACTTCGTACTAGTGGAAATTCTTACTTATGGGTACTAAATGGTAATAAATTTTAAACCATTTGAATTTCGGGTGAACCGATATAGCTGGAATCCTGATATTCGGAGTTAGGATCACTGTTGGGGTGTAGAATTGGGGTATATAGCAATTTTTGGAAATTCGTACTAATGTGTACTAAATTTGTTACAATTTTAATTTTAGGTGATCCGATGACCCGTTAGATGTGGAATCTTAAAATTTGGATTTAATATGTGTACTGTTGGTATCAAATTAAAAATTGGGGTATGTAGGTTGTGTTGTAAATTGTGCTGTGTATTCTAAATGATAATAAATATGGTACAATTAAGATGAACCTATAGGCTCGAATCATGAAATTTGGAGTAAGTCTAGGAAATAAGTAAGCAAGAGTACGAAAGGTAACAATTAGCATAGAACTAGATATCTGTTGCGGCCAGCATTGGTGTGTAGTGTTGAGATGTGGAAGTTGTTTTGGAAATACGTACTATAAGAGAAGAAAGTAACTAAATGGTACTAAAATTGTAATTGTGGTCAATATTGGTGTGTAGGTCGATTAGCTCTTCTGACATATGCAGTTTTTTATGGCTAAGACCTTCAAAATACTGACAATGTGGCGCAGCCGTTATATAGGTGCTATGTATTTTTTTTTTTTTTTTTTGCTTATATATACGTCAGTCTCAAAAAACCATTTTATACCAAATTACAGTCACATCGGAGGAAAAATTCAATTGAAGCCTTCATAATTCTGAAAATTGGTAGGTACCGTTATATGAGAGCTATACTTGAACGTAAACCGATGATGCTGTATATATATATATATTTTTTTTTAAGAAAATTTGACACTTCCTATGAATCTGCAAGATCAAATTAAAGATCAAGTCGGTTTGAAAATGTACCCAATACGCCTAAAATACCAAATAATAGGGTTATCATTATATGGCGATATCATTATTTTGACGATCACAACAAAATTTTGCAAAGCTTATCGAATTGTGTCTAGCATGAACTGTATTTAGAGTTGTCAAAATTGTATTTAGTGTTGCAATCTTATGTAGGATATCATATAGTCGGCCCCGTCAAACTTACGTTCTTTCCTTACAGGTTATTTAACAAAAAAACGTAAGGAAAGTAGTAAAGTCGGTCGGGGCAGACTATAAGATACCCTTCACCACTTTTGGTATATTCAACAGATGGAATCCTAACAGACGTCGCATTTTTGAAGGACCATTAACATAAAATTAAATATGCCATTCTGCAATCTATACTAATCTTTGGTCAGATATAGAGTTGCGTCTTACATTGGGACAAAATTATGTAAATAAATTTGAAGCAAAATATCGAAATCTATACCGATTTCATCGAAACTTTTCACATGTTAGGTTACACTTATTTCAGTATGTTTTGTGCATTCGACTACATTTTCAGTTCTTCATTTACTTATAAATCCAAATTTCGTGCAAATCGAAGGATATATAGGGACTTTGGTGCACTATTTACCTAAAATCGGACGAAAATATATATGGGAGCTATATTTAAATGTGTACCGATTTTCACGAAATTTAACACGCATCTTTCTAGACTTAATTCAGTACGCTATGCCAAATTTCGTGCAAATCGAAGGATATATAGGGACGTTGGTGCACTATTTACCTAAAATCGGACGAAAATATATATGGGAGCTAAATCTAAATCTGAACCGATTTTCACGAAACTTAACACACTTCACTCCAGACTTAATTTAGTACGCTATGCCAAATCACGTGCAAATCGAAAGATATATAGGGACTTTGGTCCACTATATACCTAAAATCGGACGAAAATATATATGGGAGCAATATCTAAAATTGAACGATTTTCACGAAATTTAACACACATTTTTCTACACTTAGTTTACAACGCTATGCCAAATTTTGTGCAAATCGAAGCATATTTAGGGACTTTGGTGCACCATTTACCTAAAATCGGGCGAAACTATATATGGGAGCTATATCTAAATCTGATCCGATTTTTACGAAATTAAACACATTATTCTAGACTCAGTTCACAACGCTATGCCAAATTTCGTGCAAATCGAAGCATATTTAGGGCCTTTGGTGCACCATTAACCTAAAATCCGGCGAAACTATATATGGGAGCTATATCTAAATCTGAACCGATTTTCACGAAATTTAACACACATCTTTCTAGCCTTAATTCAGTATTCTATGCCAAATTTCGTGCAAATCGAAGTATATTTAGGGACTTTGGTGCACCATTTACTTAAAATCGGGCGAAACTATACATGGGAGCTATATCTAAATCTGAACTGATTTTTTCCAATTTCAATAGGGTTCGTCCTTGTGCCAAATAAATGAGTTGTGCCAAAATCGACCTGTACTTTGTTTACAATTTAACATGAACAGACAGACGGACGGACATACATAAATCGATTTAAAAAGTGATTCTATGCATTTTCTCAAAAAGAACCATGTGTCTATCTCGTTTCCTTTTGCCTGTTACAAACATATGCACAAAGACATAATACCCTGTACCACAGTGTGGTGAAGGGTATAAAAACAGCTCCTGAATATCCAACAGTAAGTTAGGGTATCTTACAGCCTGCACGTTTGAATTATGTCTTATCATTACTGGCTTCAGGTGTTTTAGTTTAGACTTCTCTTATATATTCTAAACGTATAGAATCCGCTGATGGTCTTTCCATGAGATTTTGACCGTATACCCTCAAGAAACTAAAGACTAGTTAAGGTTAATTTTGCAGCTATGTTTGCCATAAATAAACTTTTAAAAATATATTAATTTCAGGATTACAAATTGATCGAATTCCAATAACATATTCTTTCCATCATAACGTTGACATTTATTGTATATTGTCTTAGAAACACATTTCAGAATTTTATGTAAAAAGAAAATCTTATTATTTTATAGTTTTATGGCACATTAATCTGGAGCTGTCGCTCCACATACAAGTGGTTGAACATATGAAAATAAATAAAAAATACATTCATACATGCATATAAACTGTCAAACGCACAATATATTCGTAAATGTCATGTAA